GTGGAGAGGTAAATAATTGCTCAATACCTCTCTGAAGAAGTCTAGGAAAGTTTGCCCTCTTTTTCAGAGATTGTCCTTTCCATTTCATTGAATAGTTTGCGTTCTTGTCCTCTGTCAAGAGGGCTAATAAGTGTGTATCCACGCAGGTAGGTGAGCCGGCATCATACCACCTGTGTCTAGGTGTACGCAATTCTTATTATTATACATGTTGTGGGTAATTTATTGCATGATTGTTTTACATCAGAATGTCCAGTTCTGATAGTGTCACAGGTGTGAAATTGTTATGTGTTGAGCATTAAAGAGGATCTTCACCCTCCCAAAAAAAAAAAAAAAATGATTCCCCTCCTCATTCCACTGTCCTCCCACAGGTCATGTCCTTCATTGCCATGTTGCTTGCTAACGTCACAGGGAGTTGGCATTCTCTTCTTGGTTCTTCAGCCAGCACCCCCATGATGCTACCCCAGCTAGGGCTGTAACCAATGATTATTTTTAGTCTATTAGTTGGGTGGGTTTTTTTCCGATTTAAAAAAAACAACATCTTTTAAAATAAAATACTCAAATGTGGGGTTCTTGCCATGTCTTGTCTGTACACATGCTGAAAACCTCCTTATTTATGATTACCAGATCTGGAAAAGACGTGACGATGGTGAGCAGAACCAGGACGGAGCCTGAGGAACCATCCTCTGACAAGGAAACCTGGCGAGTACCGGGCCAGTGAGTGAAGTATAAACCTTTCCTCCGCTGTAATGGGAGAAACCTGTCAGACTGTAGAAGACATAGACTGAACAGCCTTTACCTGCCATGATCCATCCTTCCTGTGAGATGACGGTTTGTTCCCAGCAGTTTTGTGAATTTGTATATGTATATAAAATCTCTAGCAGAAGGTTCAATTTATTCTTCTTCGTTTTTTGTTTTTTTTAAATATAAATTAAATCCATTTTCCTAAATGTGCTACCTTTCTGTGATTTTATTATATTTTCAAACTACATGTTAATCCAATCACTAAGCTTTCATAGAAGCTTTAACATATTTAATTTTCAATGTTTAAATCTCACACTTTTATTAATACCAGCTGTGAAGGTCTTGGATTGGGAGCTCCTTGTTATAGGGTAACAGCGCTCCGTCTCTGTCCGGTCCGATCAAAATGCCGCAAGCATTATTTTGATCGCACCGGACTGCAGGCATAATGTGCCCTGCGATCCCGTGTGGCCGGAGGGCGTAGCTACGGTGCCGTTCACTTCAATGGTCCGCCATGCCCCCTCCTGCCCCACAAACAAGTGAGCCGGCCGCAATGCAGTGCCTTCTGGCCAGAATTGGGCCGGAACGCACTTCATCTGGTGTGAACAAGGCCTAAATCTAAATGGGTGTAAAGTCATGCACTTGGGGAGTTAAAAATATGCATGGTCAATACACCCTAGACGGGGTTTCACAGTGGAAAACGGATATGGAGAATGATCTTGGGGGCCTTATAGGCCCTTGGTTCTCAACTGGTGGGTAGCGACCCCATGTTCAGTGGGTCGCTGCATGCCTTCCACTTTTCTAGGTGAGAGGCTCCTTTGCCTCCCCCTAGCGCAGTACTGTCAGTTCAAGCAGCCATTCAAAAAATGCTGCCCGGCACTGAGCATCAGCTTAAGGTGGTATGGGACTATGGCCGTGAAGGAGCTCCATCCATCCATGTATGGCTTACAGCTCCCTCATGTGTCCTATAGAGGTGTCATGGTGACATCACATTCTGGCTCCCGGCACCTCTACAGGGCAAGGGAGCTGTACAAGTAATGCACATATGGATGGAGCTCCGTCACAGCACAGCAGCCCACACTGGACCCCAGACTTAGGATCCACTCCAGTTCTTTTAAGGTAGGGAGAAACATTTTTGGAGTGTGTGTGAGATGGTGTCTGTGGTTGTGTATGTTTGTGGGCCCATGCACACTAGTACAGTGCGTTAATCACATATTACCATGCGATTAACGCAATGTACCATGCAATCGCACCTACCGTGCATTCTGGTGTGGGAGGTTTGTTGCGTTGCTATTCATTTGAATGGTACCCCAAACGTACCTCCCACCCACAGTTTGTACACCTGCATCGGAACACGCGGTACCCTAATGCCATGCGTTCCATTGCAGTGCGCCTTGGGTCGCGACTTAATGATCAAGGACAAATGTGGGTCCTGAGGCTACACATGTTGAGAACCACAGTTATAGGCCATAGACTCGGTAATAGAATGCAGTGCCAAGCTGCAGCTAATAGACTACTGGCTTTATTATCTTGCATCAAAAGAGGGATTTATTCACAGGATAGAAATGTCATTTTTTCCCTTTTACAAAACACTGGTAAGGCCCCATGTTCAGTACACGGTGCAACTCTGGTCACCAATCCTCAGGGGGGATGTCTGTGAGCTAGCAAAGATTCAGAGAAGGGCAAACAAATTTAATAAGGGGGATGGGTTACAAAGAACGCCTACAAACATTAGGATTGTTCTCCTTACAGAAGAAGAATCAAAAATCACCAGCACTCACTGTGACGGGTTGTCCAATTAAATGGACATGTTTAATGGTATCGCTGAGTGCCGGTGATTTTTGTTTCTACTTTGTGTCTGCACGGCGCCATCCGTGGTTATCACTGGAAGCACCATCTTCTACATAGGCCTGGATTGCTGCAAGGTGTGTGGAGGGCTTCTCTATCCACTCCTTAAGGTCCCCACACACCTTACGATAATCGTACGATAATCGCGGGAAATCCCACGATCGTACAATTATCGTAAGGTGTGTGGAAGCCGTGCGACCTCTACTACTGTAAGGTCGCACGACTTTGAACTTACGGACATGTTCGAAAACCCGCCAAGCATCGTACGACGTTCGGCGGGTTTGTGGCATGTCTGTACGATAACAGCCGTACGGGCTGGTGTGCGCAAGCGCACACTGCCCGTTCGGCATTGCGGTCATCGGAAGCCTGCCCCTCAGGGGGCGTGGCTTGCGATCATTGCAAGTACGATCTGCCTATGCAACATAGGCAGATCGTACGTTTTTTTAAGTACCTTACAACCATCGTAAGACAAATGTCTTGCGATGGTTGTAAGGTGTGTGCCCAGCCTTAGAGAAGAGACGCTTAAGAGGTGACATGATCGCAGTTTACAAACTCATCAGTGGGGACGGCGGTATTGGGAACCCACTACTTAAACCACATACCGTGAGGAAGACGCGAGGGCACAACAAGAAATTGGAGGGGAGGAGGAATAATCGTAAACTGCGTAAGGGGTATTTTAGTTTGAGAGTGAAGTAAAGATGTGGAAGTCACTTCCACAGATCGCTGCATCAGCGGGAAACATGAACTGCTTCAGAAAACACTTGGATGAGTTCCTCAGTTCACAAAACATACAAAGTTATTGAGACACACAGACTCACACTCTGAACATGATGGACCTGTGTCTTTATTCAACTTCACCTACTGTGTAATCTAAGGATCTAGTTCTATACGAGAACCTATCTCCTGAAAATGCTAGTTCCCTGGCTGTATGCTCATACCCAGCCTTCAATAGTTTGCATCAATAACCGGTATGTAGAAAAGAATCTGACTTTTCTTATATACTATATATTTGTTCCAGGTCAGTGACTAAGGGCCCGTTCACATGAGTTTCAGGTCCTGATCAGGTCCGGATCTGCAGACGCAGTGCTACTGATGCAGTGCGTTTTGGCCCACGAACAGTGGGGCTGTTAGTATGTTAGCTGCAGTGCAGTGCGTTTTTGACGCAGGCAGAAGGAAGGTATTCTGCAATGTGGCAGCCACGATTTGACACATGGGAGGTTTACCTTAAATTGGCTAGGGACAGCAAAGCAGGGATAAGGGGGATTGTATGATACCCCCCTCACCAAATTATTATTTATTACAGGTATTTATATAGCACTGACAATTTACGCAGCACTGTACATGGACATCAGTCCCTGCCATCAAGGAGCTTACACAGCTTGAGGTCCCTAATGCACAGATCACTCCGCTTATGGTCTTCTCCCTGCAGAGAGCGGTCGCAGCTCACCGCCAGGATTTCCCCCTCCCCTGTCTGTCCCTCCAGTGCTCATTAGAGGGACAGACAAGGGACGGGCTGTCTCTGGCTCTAGAGAAGCAGAGTGAGATGCCAACCATGGAGTGGGGTGGATCCCGACAATATTGTCCGGATTTTTCCCAGCTGCCGCACGGCTCTGCATTTTCAGTAAATAGCGGGCAGTGGCCCACTAGATGCTGACTTTGGTTGGGTCACAGGGGTACATAAGTAAATGAACTCCTTTGACCCAAAAGAGGACTAAAGCCAAAAAAAGTTTGACTCTGGTTGTCATTTGGATATACCATTGAAAGCATTTGGTTATATCTGTTAAATAAGGGCGAACAATTGCTGGTGATCCTGCCATAAATCTTGTCAGCTGATAACTTCCTGTGCCGTCTGCCTGCACTGCAGTCCTATCAGTTACAAGCGAAGTTCTTTTTATTCCATGTGTAGCCGCACTTGGTGATGTAACATTACACTTGGAATAAAAAGAACTTTGCTTGGAGTGCCGTTGACCCACTGTTTTGTTTATCTGATCCAGCGGCGCTGTCTGCTGCCATTTCAGCACCAAATTGGAAGGTGGAGCATTCTCGGTCAGGAGTGCGGTGGGATCCATTACACATCTATATGAGGACTCCAAAACACCTCCACTGTATGGTATGCAGAAGAAGATAGGTGGCTGTGATCTGTAGTCCTAGGGTGTCCACTGTTCTTCCATAAATTCAGTATGGTGGGGGAGCTTTGTCACCCTAGGACATTAAGTGTGTTTCTGACAATATCACCGGGTCAAAATAAAAGAATAATAAAGTCTGAAAACAAGAAAACGAATACAGCAATCATATTGAAGGACTGGTAGGCTGCAATACATGACACATTTGTTTTAGGATTGGATACACTTTAGGTCTCTGTAGGAAACAATGATGATACAATTCGGGTGATTTATAACCAGAAAGTATTTTATTGAAGTAAAACAGGAAAGTGTTCAGGCTCATATTCGCAAAGTGCTTTGTAATGTGCTCTTGAAGAAAGCAGGTCCTTAGTGCCACACGTTGGCCAGGCAGTGTCCGATGGCCTGGGGGAAAATTTTTTATTTATCATTTAATTCATTCATACATTTTTACATTTCTCTCTTAGTAACATATTTCTTGTATCTGGTTTGCTTATTCCAGTTTAATGGAAACCAAATAGAATAATGGGGGTGACGGTCTCTGACGACCTAATACTAATTTCCTGGCTGTCTGGCTTTAACACTTTGATTCGCTGCCCTGGAACAAGCATGCAGGTAAGAACGTAAGCGCTCATTCAGAGGGACGTCTGATCCCGGGAGTAATTCCTTATCTATTGGAGGACGCAGCTGCACGCAATTACACTCTGTCATATGTACACCCTAAAGCTGCCCACACACCTTGCGATCGTCGGATGACACTTTTCGTCCGATGATCGAACCGTCGTGGGATTTTCATACGGCGGCCCCATCCTGCCCCGATTATCGCAAGGTTGGATCAGCGGTAATGAAAAGAAAGCACCTGGACGAATCGCGGTAATCAACCGCACGTATTTCCGTCTGCAACAGTGCAGTGTAAATCGTACGAATTTTGACGTACGAAAACTCCACCGACCTTGCGAAAATCGTACGATCGATCGAAGTTTTCTAACCCACTGGAAAGTGAAAAGTCGATCGATTGTACCGTATTTGCGGTTGTACACTGCCCATCAACCTTACGAAGATCGGACGAAAACGCGATTGCATACAAAAATCGGCCGATATTCCTAAGGTGTATGGGCACCTTAACATCCATGTGATCTGGGTATTCATACTTGGACGCGCTCTGTCTGCTTCCAAATGTGGACAGCCGGACCCACACGGATGTGCAGGTTCGGAATTACGTATGACAGCGTGTCATTGTGTGCAGCCGCATCCTCCCATAGGGAAGAACAGACTGCTGCGCGCAATTACACCTGTCCCTCCCAGAATCGGGTCTTTTTATGGGTGTGCACGCCATACAGACCATCTGAATGAGCCCTAATAGTGAAACCAGAACTCCTTATCTGTTTCAGATTGACGTATTGAAGCCATTGGATGAGAATGACAGGAAGTCATCAAGGGGCGTCTCCTGTTAGGACAGGTGTTGTTTCAGTACTCACATTGCACTCTCTTGCGTTGTCCAGGTTTTGACACCAATAGGATGGCCCAGCTGCACACCCAGAGTCCTCTGTGATGGCTGTAGAAGCTGCAGGACAGGCCCCGACTACCTGCAAACAACAGAGCTCGGCCAAACCCATGCAAAACTGTCAATGATTCCCCCTTCTGGGCTCAGTTGCAGCTGGGGCATTGCCTGCCCCTTTGTTAGGTGCAGCTGCGAGGTGGGGAATGCCCCGGCTGCAACGGACTGAACCGGGAAGGGGGTGATTTACTGAAAGTTTTGCATGGGCTTGGGTGAACTCAGGCCATGCCCATCCCTATTTCGTAGAACTCCAGCCAACTTTGTTTATTTAGCTTTGGATAGAGTGGTTTCTTCTTGTTGAGGATTCTGATGAAGGGGGCTTGCCCCTGAAATGCGTCAATCTTGGCTGACTGCGGCCGGTGGACGGTGATGTGACCGGAGGCTACCGTGTTACAAAGTCGGGGCGACAGCATGTTGGGTTAACAGACAGTGTGGCCTCTTGTATTTTGTGAAAGCGTGATGAAAACGTTATCTTGTGAGTACATGTATCCCTTGTTTGATTTATCCTAATAAACGATTTTACACACGGAGGTGGCGCCCTGTTCCCTTTAGTTTTCTGGTTTCTTCTTGTTGCCTATGTGCCCACCAGGCAGATTTCCCTCACTTCCTTTTCTGGTGACATCTATAAAATGTTCACTTCATGTCCTGCTGGCAGTGATCACCAGGACGCATAATAAGGATTCCTCCCCACAATTGGGCAATAAAAGTAACAGATATTCTGCCCTCTCCCATTGCAGAAGATACCGTGAAATGGTCTCATTACCCCAGAAGCTGAGCCGAGGTAGCCCCCCACTGTCTGCCTACATACCTGGCAGGTTTTCATGTGGTCCCAAGGTTTGAGGAGAAGCTGAGACAGTTCCTTCTGGTGCTCTTGCAGGAATACATGACACTGAGGAAAGACAGACACATTTCTGTACAGTGCAAGGAACATTTCGAGTTACAGTGGAGTATTGCAGCCTTCATGTAGAGTAGATAATGATCTTCTAACTATTAAAGCTGAACTCCGGGCTCTTGTCGAATTACAAGGGCCATCTGTATTCTTATTTAAAGGAGAACTATGAGGTGAGCGCTTTTCACTCACCTCATAGTTCTAGCCGACCTGTGACAATGAGACTGTTACAGGTCGGCTCAGTAGATCGGGAGGTGAGCGAACACATACCGCCGTTCGCTCACCTCTCGATCCTGTCACGGCTCTCTGCTGGATTCCCCCCTCCCCGCTCCGATCCGCCAGCGCTGACTGGCGGAACGGGAGGGGGCGGGTGCAGCTGGCTCTGCCTCTAGATAGGCAGAGCCAGCTGTCAGTCACGAAGCCGGGCGGATCCAGACATACCGTATTTTTCGCTCCATAAGACGCACTTTTTTCCCCCCAAAAGGAGGGGGAAAATGTGCCTGCGTCTTATGGAGCGAATCCCGACGCCCGAGACATGCAGTTTCAGGCGCCGGGCGAGTATTAGGAGCCACTGCTCGTTTAATACGAGTGATCTAATGAGATCACTCGTATTAAAGCCGAGCAACGGCGGCGGCGATCGTGTTCACCAGTAGGAGCCACTGCTCGTTTAATACGAGTGATCTAATGAGATCACTCGTATTAAAACCAAGCAGCGGCGACGATCGAGATTACCATAGAGTAGACGAAGAACGGACGTTCTTCGTCTGCTCTGTGTGATCACTGAGACCGTGGCGCTGTAATCACAGCGCCACCTGTCTCAGCGGTCACTAACTGCAGCTTCTGTGACAGCTTCTGTCATAGAAGCTGTGACAGAAGCTACAATCTGTCGAGTGCTCGATAAGGCGCGCCGGACCTCCCTGCGTCCTATGGTCCAGTGAGTCTTATGGACTGCAAAATACGGTAATTGTCGGGAACCGCTTCAGCTGCGGCGTCTTAGTATACTGCGAGCAGCAGCTCGCGGTATACTGCGGTGTCTCAGTATACCGCGAGCTACAACTCGCGGTATACTGAGCCTAGGGTGACGGGAGGACGCTAGTTCGTGTCCTCCCGTTACCCTAAGGAGAACTATAAGGAAAAGCCCTAACCCCATAGTTCTCCTTTAAATCTGATCACCTTGCAAATCTCTGTAAACGTTTGTTCTGTGTGAATAGAGGCAAAAATGAATGTTATTAGTATATGTTCATACCACATTGTGGCCACTAGGTGGAGCTGAGGAGCATAGGAAAGAAATACTAACCTCACCTTACTGCATAAGCAGGGGCGTCCCTAGCCTTTTCAGTGCCCTTTCAGGGGTGATGGGAAGGGTTCTGCTGGTGCACGCAATCCGGTGGGGGGACAGGACATAGGGTTGGTCCTTTGTATCATCTCCCCACCCAGCTCTGGCCGGAGTTCCGCCCAGCTCCTGGCATCAGTGATGTCATTGGTTGCTAGGAGCTGAGTGGGATGCCGGCTAGAGTGTGCCAGGTTGATCAGAGCTAGGCGGGATGATGTGTGTGGCCCTTACATATCTCCCCACCCGGCTCTTAGCAACCTGGGACACTCTGGCTGGAAAGGGGGTGGCAGGTACACTGCAAATATTGTGCAGCAGAGCAGCCATGCCGCACTGCCTGCTGCCCCCCACGTGACTCAAAAAGATGCTGCAGGCTTTCTCATTATAGGGATGGCCCTGTGTAGTGAGGTTACAGCCAGGTGAGGGGTATTTCAGAACAATCAGCAGACCTCATATGTACCTTATATGAGGATCTCAGCTTTTGCTGTAAAAGCCTAGATTGATTTTATTTTTGGTGACAATGGTGAGATACTCGCTAAGGGTTAATTACTACTAAAGGGATGCGGACACTGCAACTTTCCTCATTACAACACAGAAAGTCCACCAGTTAATTTTATCGAACCCAGACCCTCCCATGCAGGAATTAGTTTGGAAAGGACATGCTGGAAACAAGAAAATGGTTTCTTCAGATCGGAAACTGGGAGGAACCTGCAACAAAGTTTGTTAAGAATCTTGCAGTGTACATAGATCACACAGAGGGGGGGTTGATTTTTTTTCCCCTCAACAATGGTGGAGTTATTCTTTAAGTCTACTAGATAACTAGCTGATGCTCTTGGTTGCCCTTTGTCCTGCTTTCACACTGTTTTGGGATCTGTGAGTTTAGAGGGAACATTCTTCCTAGAAATAACTGCCCGTCGTACTTTGATCTTTAGCAGAAAAACACACATCTGCTATGGTCCATCATATGGTGTCACTGACAGAACTGAGTACAGTGACTATATGCATTGATTCTGAAGGAGCATGTTGTATGTCTTCTCTCACCTCCTTCCAGTCCATCTGTTCGGGGCACACTCTGGAGAGCGACTTGGCGATGTGCTCCTGAGTCACATTTTTGGTAGCCATCGGCTTCACAAGGGAGGTGACGGCCAGGCAGGTTTCACAGCTGAGGTCATATTCCAGATCTGAAAGCACAGCAGAAAAGTAATTGAGTTTACCTTCACTGCCATTTACAGCCCACTTCAGTACAGCGTGATATGTGAGAGAGACGGGCAGAACATGGCCGAGAAGATCCACAGAATGCTCCGGACTGCTAAGCAGCATGGAGACAACTTTGGAACCCGTCAGGATTATACAGCCTGTCCGTCGACTCAAGGCCAAAATCTAAATAGCAACAAGCGATGCCATTGTCTCATACTATGAGAGAATATATAATAGTCTTGTACATGTTATCTTTATTTATCATAGGGAAGGTACACATAAAAATACTGCAGTTGGATATTTGTCTTATTATCTCATTTTTTTCTTTCAAAATATTTATTTATTTTCGACGACATCAAAAAGATTAACATGAGAACTAATAAGGCGCAAAGTATAAAGTGAGGTGAAAATCCCAAAC